AGAGGTCTGCCATGCCATGTGGGTATCTCCCTGGCTGGCCAGGGACCAAACCCGTGCTGCAGAGGCTGTGGACAGCTTCACAGCAAAGCGCTCAACCCGTTGCGCCACCGGGGAGGCCTGAGACAAATACCTTTTTAAAAAAATTATTTCCATGAGAGAGTGAGATGAAGTTCTTTCCCAGAGCTAAGAGAATGTAACCCCCAATTCCTGGACTCTGCTAGCACAGACAAACTTCTCCATCAATGCAAAATTACCCGTTCCCCTCTCTGCTACATCATTTCAGTGTTAACACACAGAAAGACCTTTGATTAATGAGATGACTCAAGTAATTGGAACTTAATGCAACACTAAGACCCAGTGATATTAAGTACTCATTTAGATCAAAAATTCCTCATTGGGTCCAAGAACCTACATAAATTTAACCCATGTCGTCAATCGCCTCTTTCTCTACTTGGTATGATCAAATGGAGCACTAGAAACAGAGTGCTGTGTCCCTCCAAATACCTCTCCCCAAGGTTATATTTAGTGGTGGGAGATGCTTTGGTCAAGAATATGGCACCTCATGAATGGGACTGTGCCCTTATAAAAGAAATCCTCCCCTCCCCATTTTGCAATGTGAGGCCACAGTAAAAAGATCTATGAACAAAGGGCCTCCCTGGTGGCACAAGGGTTAAGACACAACCTATGAAGCTCTCCATAGCCACTGCAGCGTGAGTTTGATCCCTGGCCAGGGAGCTACCCACATGGCGCAGCAGACCTCTCCTGACTCATCCGCTGCTCCCCTCAGCAGTGTATTTCAGCCAATATGCCTATTCTGCTCCCCACTAGTCTCTGGTGAATCCTCTCACCCCTCACACCTCTAGCCTTTACCCCAGATTTTGTATGCATAAATAAATAAATCTTTTAAAAAAAGATCTACGAACAAGGAAGTGGGTCCTCACCAGACACTGAATCTGCCAGCACTTTGAGCTTAGACTTCCAGTCTAGCTATGACTGTGAGAAGTAACTTTCTGATGTTCTATAAGCCCCTCATTCTACGGTTTTCTATTATAGCAGCCTGAACAGACTAAGATACGGAGTTATTTGATATTGGGTTGATGGAAAGCACTACCAGAATCTCAGTTAGCTAAGACAAACTCCACTACACTGGTCATTCATTCATTCATTCATTCATTGTTTCTTCATTAGCAGGCAATGTACTGATAATAGCATGTGGACTGACATCACAGACTCCACTGTTTACGGAGAGCTGACACTGATGCAAATATCAGATAAATGAAAGCTAAAGTAAAAGCTGTGACCAAACAGCACAAGGCACGAAGGGGGGGTAAAGGTATTCAACCTGGTCACAGAGGTCAGGGACGGCTTCTCTGAGAAAAAGGCTCTTCTGTTGAGACCTGAGAAGAGTAAGCGATAACCATGATGAGGAGAGGAAAGAGGCAGCGAGGACACTAAATGTAGTGCTGCTGAGAAACCAGAAAGTGCACCTGAGTATGGACAGAAGTGATGGGGCTGAGGATGGGCAGCAGCCAGGGACAGACTGGACATCCTAGGAGCATAACGCTCTGGATGTTTAGTAGAAGCCTCTGGACACTTTTAGGCACCGTGATAAAGGAAAAGACTGGAAGGCTATTCAGAAGGTGAAACTGACCATAGGTGATACAGCAATCCTTCAGTCTCTTTGCTAAGGCAGGAAACCAAAGGAACAGGGCCTCCCTGGTGGCGCAGCGGTTGAGCACTGGGTTGCGAAGCTGCCCGCAGCCTCTGCGGCGCTGGTTCGATCCCCGGCTGATCCCCGGCTGCTCCCCGGCCACTGGAGGAGGGTCCCACATGGCGCGCAGACTTCTCCTGCCGCCTGCTGCTCCCCTCAGCAGTGTACTTCAGTCCTTCTGCCTGCTCTGCAACCCGCTCTGGCTCTGGTGAATTCTCTCACCCTCCCGTGCTTCTGACTGTACCCAGTGCATGTATAAACAAAAAACAAACAAACAAATAAATAAATAAATAAATAAAAAACATGCCTCTATTAAAAAAAAAATTAAAAAAAAAAGGAACATACAAAAGAGAGACAAGGAAAGGTAGGTAGTTACGTGGCTACAAAAAGCAAAAAGATTTTCCTTGAGATAATCAGAACACTAAATGATGAGGGCATGAAGTTCCACCTTGTAATACAGTTAAGCCAAGTCTTACCATCCTCAGCTAACTCTACAGTCCTGCAAACCCAATCCTGGCCTCTCACCTCAATAACGTGAGGTCAACTCATACTCCATAAGGGGACGGGTCTATTTTGCACTGGTTTCACTAAAACACACTAAAAAAACATAACGTGTATACACTAATGTTATTACTCATCAGTGGAACAGGATACTAATTTTAATCTGCACAAAATCAGAGTTTTCACACTAAGAAGGACCTGAAACATCAACTGAGTACCTGTGAATTTTTCCAGTATGTTCATAGACATTTTCATGTATAATTTATGTCCTATTAACATGTATATTTGGTGTCCTCTAAATAATCTGTTTTCCGTGCACTTAATCCACAGATGTGCATTGGCTTTTAGGCGCCCTTCATTCCGACCTCAACCCAAGGGACACAGACTTTCGCACATGCACACATACAGACAAACCTAGACTCACTCAACACTGTGAGAAGGCTGCCTGATGGACAACAGACCAAACACTGCCTCGGATTCTGATAGTCAAAGCCATGGTCAAGGGAATGATCCCAGCCCTTACTTAGAAGAATCCGATAAAAACATAGGACAGAGACGAGGCAACCCAGCAAAGACCCCCTCACCAGCTAGTCAAAAAGAACAGAAAAAACAGGAAGGAGCTAGAACCTGAGACCCCAGCCCCCACTCCAGGCGGGGAAGGCAATCCTGTCATCACAGAGAGAACTCACTGAGCAGACTGAGAGATGTTGCAATTTGAGAAGCAATGTAGCTTCCTTGGATGACAGCAGAAGCCACGTCCAGCTTTCAGTGCCCTGGCCACCAACCAAGTTCACGCAGTGCAGAAATTTTGGATTGAATCGATGTGTTAACACCCTTACTTTTCCAAATGTAAGGGATATATATCTAAGATTAAACCTGTAGAAACCAACCCCTAGATGTCATTGTTGCTGCTGAAATATCAAATCTAAGTCTCTGAAAGTTTAAATCTGAAGAGATAGCAACGTTAATCTGAATAAACCACTTAAATAATGCAAATTCAATTCACTTTCAATTTTTCAAAGCCAAGTCCAAAGTCTTCTGGACTTCTTAACCAAAATGTAACTAAATCTTAGGGTTTCAGCACATATTCAGTTGCCAGCAAAAGCCACATTTAAGTTAAATAGGCTGAAAACTCAGTCACATGTGACATGCCTAACTGGGCTTACATCAAATTCCATGACTGATAAGCTGATTTTAAAATAAGCTGATTTTAAAATAGCTGGATGATTCTAGTTTCTTCTTTTCCATGTGTCCTCTGACTTCCATGCTTGCCTCTGTCATCAGTGTTGGAGCTTAGAACTGCCTGTATCCTCACTCGCAGGCACACTGAGTGAACAAAGGGGCTCACTGACCCTCCACCCTGTTTCCAATTAGTCACAAGAACTTGGCTCTTCAAATACATGTTTTTTGCTCACAGCATCCCTTATCACCATTTCTTCCTTCCATTTTGTATCATTCTACTCTGAATCTTTACTGATCCTTTACTATCAGTCAGGTGCACTGATGCTTCATATTACAGTGTGTCCTTTTTAAACCTCACGAGTCCTATGGATAGGTATCACTATTTCCATTTACACATGAAGTAACAGAGGCACAGAGAGGTTAAGTAACTTACCCTAGATCTCACAGCTAGGAAGGTCTAGGTTTTGAAGCTCAGGGATGAAGCCCAGACCACATTCTAGATTTTTAGGACCTCTCTGAGGCCAACTCTCAGGTTTCCAAATGGACTCCATTTTTATTCTCTCTCCCAAGCCCCCTGCTCTCAACCTGAGGTCCAATCTCCCAAAAAGATTGTGTAGCTCCTCAAATAAAGTGTATGCCTACAAGCATGTGTGCTAAATAAAATCACTTCTTCTTTCAGTGAGTGAGTGAGTATTCACTGAATGTAGCTGCATTCCAAGCCTGGTTCTGGGGCAGCGAGACTATCAATGAGCAAGACTGACAAGCTCCCTGGCCTATTGGTGCTCATTCCCCAGCAAGGCAGACAGGTGTGGAGGCAGGAAAGGCACATGGGATAAACGATCGCAGAGCTAAGTCTACAAAAATGTGTGAACTAAGACAAGCAGAGCCCCTAACACAGGGTCCTGAACCAGATGCTTGCTCCCTGCCTCTGCCCAAGCCATCCCTGGCCCCAACATGCCCTTCTGACCAAAGTTCACCCCACTCTCCACTCCAAGCCTCCCACACCAGGCAGAATGCCCTTCAAGGTCCACACACCCTGTGTCCACCCTCACCTCACACCTCCACCCTTGCTGGCCCGTTTTCTTCCACATACCAAGCTGATCCAGTCATGACCTTGGTTCAGGCTCATCCCCTACCCCACCCACAATCAGAGTGTCATGGGAATCACCCTCCATCTGACCTAGAGGCATGAGCTGAGGGAGAGGTGCTGGGGAAAGAATGATGGATGACATGGAACCTGATCACCTACTCATGAACTCACATGTGTCATGCAGCCCTATTCATGCCTAATTCTGAGTGTCCCACTGCCATCTCACAACAGGATTCTGCAGGGTCCCTCCAACCTTAAGACTTGCCAGAACCGAAGATCAGCAGTTCTGGCCTTATGGCCAGAAAGGGCATGAAAATTACAGTGTGGACTGTGTCTGGTGCCATATGCATTTTCCTTCCCTTCCCCACCCATGTCTTTTTCTCCATGAAATAAACATTCCAGGAAATCAAACACTAAACAGTGATCCTGACGCTTGGTCTCCCGCAGTGTATGAGGAGCTCAGAGACAGGAAACCTTAGCAGGTAGACTACTTGCTGTCTATGGTTATCCACTTACTGATGTCTGAGGAAGCAAGAAGTGGAACTCCCAGCCAGCTGATGTTGATGCTAGTGGCTTCTCCTAGTCTATCACCTCAAGAGGAGCTGTCAAAATAACAAATGACACATTTTTAGGTCACAGGATTACCCCTTAGCCAGGCTCTCAGGGTTTGATTAGCAGTTTCTTTTCCTCTTAGTGTCTTTCTTCATCTTCTTCCCCCTCTCCTTTTCATTTTCTTCCTCTGCACCTCTCATCAATAAAGGTCACCGCTTTAAGGAAACTGCTTCTCTGAGAAGAATGTAACAGTATCCTATTATAATCACATTGTCTTGTTCAGAAGCAGGTGGTATTACCTGTCAACAGGGTTTTGGCTATAGCGAATAGCTGCCACCCAACTCGGCTAAGACTCCTGGGCAGATAAAGTGGCCAAAGGAGACAGCCCTTTGGAGGTCTCAAAATCTCATTTTCATTCCCCTTGTGGAGAAGAGACTGACTTTATTGACAAAGACGACTGAAAATTGCTTGAGCGTTCCAATAAGCAGTCTGCACTGAAGCAGAGAGACAGTCTGGCGGAGGCGAGCGCCCTGCTCCACCGAGCCCCGCTCTGCCGCAGCGTAAGTCTGTGGCATATGCAGACCAGACTGAAAGGAGCCTCCTGACGGCCTCCCAAGCAGCCCCTCTCCACCTCCACTCCCAGCCTGCTGATGCCTTTCCTGGATTCCAACCATAAATCAAAATGATTTCAGGGAATCTCTGCCAGAAACCAAACTCTTCGCCTGATGAGAGGCCCAGGGTCAGGCTTGGGTTAGCTGGACAATGCAAACGTCCCTCCTCCCTGACTTGACTACACATACCAGGTCAGCCACTAGGTGTCACCACCATTGATTCTAGTCCCTAGGCCCAGGTCTTGGGTATGATTCCCAGGAGCTAAGGAAGCTGTGTACAGCTCTCCTTAACAACCTAGACTACAGAGCTGCTTTGGATGCTATGACAGTGTGAGCTTCTCACCAGGTCTCTTCTAAACCAGTTAGAGGCTCAGGCCCAAAACAGTGGAGCTGAAAGTTTCAGCTAGAGCAAACCCCAGCTCTCACATAGGCTACCCCTGTTTTTTTCCCCATTTCTTCCTAATCATCATCGGTTGTTATGTACCCCACTGGTTTATTCGTGTCCTCAATAAGACATAAATTAGTATGGGTGCCTCGTAGCACCAGAGACTTTAGACATAGATGTACTGCTGAAATAATGTAGGTCTGAGGCTTTTAAGAGAATGAATGACAGATGGATAATTTATGATGATTCTGGAGACCCGAACTATAATTATGAAGTATTTCTAGGTATATATTCAGGATGCAAAGTGTAAGGAACCCAGAGCTAATGTTAATTTATTACTGGCAGCTGTATATATAATAATATATCATGTCTTTTAATCTTACATTCCTTCTGACTTACATCAAGCAATCTTTTCATTCATTAATAAAATCAAACCTTGCCATTATTCTTAATGATGAAGTCCCATTTTGAACCAGAGGATGCCTGTAATTAAACTCTGTACATCCATATAGAAGACATCTGAAGCTCAAAAAAAAAAGGAACTTTGTATTTTACAAGCAGGATGAACACATTAAAGAGACAGAGCCCACCTGCTGCAGTTCCAGGAGAGCTACGGGGAAAAGCGCTCGTGTTCATCTTCTCAGTTCACACCACCACAACCTTTTCCCCTCAGCTCTCCTGCCTCTTCTCACCCTTTCACAATCTTTCCTTTTTTCAGGCAGGATATTCTAAGTGCATGTTTTTTAACATCTTGATAAAATTTACAAATGAAAGAAAAACAGGCTAATACATGTCTGCAAGTTTCTGTGCTATGCTGAGGACTGACATGATTAGTCTCTACAAAAGAAATCTATTCTAGTCTTATGACACCAAAGACAAGGTACCCACCATGAGTAGCAAGGAGGGAAATTGGTTGGTCTTCTTCTCAAGTTTCAACTGGTTTAGCGTCTCATTCGTTTACAACCAGCCATCACCTTGGCAACTACTCACTGCACTACCTTAGACGTTCCAAAGTCTAAACAGTCTCTGATTTCAGCTCTGTTGGTGGAGGCAAGAACACATTATGCATTATCAATATCTCCCTGATGATTTCAGAAGACACAGATGCACGATACTTACGGAAGAAGCAAGACCTTCAACCTCATCAACTAATTAATGATACCAAAGTGAGAAAATGAGATGTGAGGAGATAGGGATTCAGTTATCTAAGTCATCGCTCATCTGGAGACAAAATCTGATTCCATTGAGCAGGTGGTAGATAGCTGAGTAAGCAAGTTTCCTATCTATAATACCAAATCTCGGTTAATTAAATCATGACAAATAACATTCTGTGGCAAGTGAACATACCTAAAAGAGTTTTAGTGAGATGTCCACAAGTTCAATGGAAGTTCATTTGAATGTCTTTGAATTCCTCTGACTTAAAACTGCTTAGTGTTATTTTCTGGAGAGCTCCATATGGGGAAGATAAATACTGAGGTTTTCCTCCACTGGCTTTTTGAAATTGTCTAGATTTTTCTCTCAGATTCTCCATCTTAGACCTTCTCTATATTCAGGAATTAAGGCCCTTATTCTTTCACTAACATTCCAGGCTGCCTGTAATGTGTCTTTCTAGTGGTTCTTCCTCTCTAGTTACTTGAGTGTAGGGAGGAGCATCAGTTGCAGTAACAAACAGCTCCAAGACATCACCCTTCATATCCATGGAGGGACAGCTTGGGGTTCAGGTTATCATTGTCCCCCAAAATGTAGGCTTATAGGGTAGCCACCATTTTTAACACTGCCAAGAGAAAAAGAGTACTCCAGAGGGAATTGCATGGCAAATACATGCTGCAGGATGCAGGCAGCACCCCTCCCTTCCACACACACTTCATTAGTTAAATCAGTCACAGGCCAGGAAACCAGAAAAAAGACAGGAAAGTTATATCTAACCTTGTTCAAGAAGAGAGACATTGGGAAAGAGCAGGTGAATACCAAGAGCGACAGCCACAGGAACTTGGAAGATACACTGACCACCTTTCACTTCAGAATTTTCTTATTTTCCCTCAATAGTAGTTTCTCCACTTTGTGCACCTTCCTCTGATCAAATTCTCTGATTTCTGTTCTGTCCACTTCAGATTCATGAACCTTACAGTTAAAAGACTTATTATTTAAAAAAAAAAAAAAACTCTCTCCTGATAGTCAAAACTAAAATTGTTTGTGTGAAGTGAAGAAAGGAAAGAAATTTGCACATTGTTTATTCTCAATTTCTCTTTCACCATTTTCTGGTTTTCCTTGATTTTTTTCCCCTTTACCCCTCACGCTCAACCCTTTTACTATTCTTTCTTCTTAGTTCTTTGGTCCAGTTGGCAAAGGAGTCTGTGGAATAGCAGAATTCTACCTTTGCATACTGCAGTACTGACTGTTTGGACAGTGACTAAGCTTTGCTGAATATTTCTCCCACTTGATCAGCGTTCAGCCTGCTGCAAAAGCCTCTTAATACATCTGGAAGTCTCCTAGCAGTATCTCAGTGGCAAAGTCCAGTGCATTAGTACGAGTGGAATCTTGGGTTTTTATTCCCTCACTGCTATTTGTGACTACCCAACAGCACAAACCTCCAGGACCCAGTCTTCTGCTGTGTAGTTACAAACTACCAAAACTGTCCAACATGCCAGGGGCGGTGGGCGCATGGCATCACTCACTGTATTGGACTCTGTCGGCAAAAGAAGCAACACAGGGCTGCTTGCACCCCTCGTGTGTGACACCATGATGTCCTCACAGGACTGAGGTGGTGTCGCTGGGTCAAGCTACTAAGTCTGCCTCTACAGCCCCTGGGATGAGTTATTATAAATCCTCAATCTCTCAAGCTAATAGATCGCTTTGGGTCAGTTCTACTCCTCACGTCACATCTGCAGTCCATTCGGGAAGCGAGTTCGGACCTCGACATTGTAGCCATAACGCCACACGGAAAGAACAGCCCAACCAAAAGCAGTCAAAATAAAATAAAATAAAATAAAATCAGAAGCATCGGGCTGAAAAGAACGTCCACACAGGTCCATTGTTGCAAGAAGTTGAGGGCGGGGAGGGGGTAGAAGGGAAGCCCCCAGCACATTTGGGCAACGTGGGAAGAGTCCAGAGTTAACACTCACTAACTTCAGGCGCCCACGGGGAGGGCTAAGCAGGGCCCTCGAGAGCCCCACAGCTCAAAACCGGGGAGGAGTGCAGCGAGCCAACCCAGCACCTCCTTCGAACTCACCCGGCCTCAGCGCCCCGAGATGCCCGTGGGCGGGGCCTGAGCATCGCTCCGCCCCCGCCGCCCGCCACTCGGGTCACCTGACCTGCCCGCGGCTCACGTGATCCATCCCCTGCGCCGCCATTTTGGAGCTGCGGATGAGGAGGGGGAAAGCGGGGGAAAAGAGGGAAAAGAGCCGGGAGAGAGGTGGGCGAGGAGGAGGGCGAGGGCACGGCCGGGCCCCTGGCCAGCCAAAGGAGGCTCGCGGAAGCAGCAGCTGCCGCCCGACCGCAGGTACAGCGCCCCGGGGCCGCCCCTCCGCCCGCCGATAGCGCCGCCGCCAGCCATGTGCGTCCTCCCCTCAGGCCTCTACCTGCGCGCCGCTTCCTCCTGAGCCGGCCGACACACGCCGGGTGCTAGCTCCATGCCCCAAGTTCCGTGTCCTCTTTCGGTCCTCTGTACCGCCCAAAGCAAGGCCCGCTGAGACCTCGGGCTTAGCCTGCGGTTGTGGGTGGGGGGAACCTGCCGCCTCCTGCATAATGTCACCAGCCTGTCCCCTAGGCAGGCCGGCTGAAGCGTTGCTTCCTTCCCCTCTGCATTTGTGAGACCGCTTAGGCCAGCCGGGATGGAACTAACAACTGTGGCCACGCTGTTATCTCTTGATTACTCTTCTCAACCCCCCTTTGCCTCAGCTAACCTCCGCTTGCTGTAGAACAAACTAGTTACAGAAAGGAAGTCCTAGCTTTCTGCACCTCTTACGAATCTCTTTGATGAAATGGTCTCCCCCGAGATCATTGGGAAAAGCGCCCACCTCTTAAGACCTGCGGGCATCTGAAGTGAATGGTTTGTGTGAAAGGCCTGGATGATTAATTAGGCGGAGGCCACCATCCCAACCCGTAGGCGATCTTTTTAGTTAACTGCAGTGGGTTGTAATTTCCTATCCGTCTGCATCTCTCTTATCAGAGATTACAGGAATGATCACCTCCTAGAGTTTGTACTTATTCAGTACTTTACTATGACTCAGTGTATGGGTTGCGTTATTGATTAAAAGAGAAAGTCTGACCCTTCATTCTTTTACTTCACTAACTCGTTTAAAATTAACTTCAGGGGAAGACCAAAGACAAGCTTTCTGCCCTGGCAGTGAACTGTTAGCCATAATCGATAAGATAACATTCCAGGGGAAAAAAATAAGCATTCTTTCATCTTTTAGATTCATTCTAGGTAGATAAGAAACAGTAGCAAAGAAGTGTAGGACCAGGACAGGAAACTGCATTAGAAAATATATAGGTCAATCCATCGCGTCCTGTCTTTTCATGCTGTCTTTCAGCCCACTGTGCTTGTAGAACTCTGAAGTTTGCAGAATCATCCTTTATATTTTTCATGTAAAAAAAGCAATATACAATTTACTCTTCCTAATTAATTGTCAGTAAAACCAATAATATTTTGATTTCATCAAATTCTGAGCTAAAACAGGACACACGATTATTCTGAGTTTACAGAGCAATTTTTTCTAATTTGTGCAAAAGTCGAAAATCTACTTGTTTGGTAAATTATGTCAGTTTGCATCACATGGTTGGGTTACATAAACATCCCTCTGAATTTCTTTTTGACATAGAATATTGAGAAATTTTTCACTGCCACAGGGGGAAAAAAAATCATTACTTTGTTTCACCAAAAAAAAAAAAAAAGAAGAAGAAAGAAAGAAATGTTTGATACTGTATACTTTCATTCTTGGTCACAGCTGGATTTGAAGATTGATCCAGGGGACTGTATTTATTTCAGGAATTGATTTGAAAGACACTGGCTCTGCCTCTAACAGCCATGTAACTTTGGGTAAGTCACTTCAACTGCGATGAGCGTTTCCTTTTTTGTAGAATTGTATAACACCTACTTGGCCCAAAGCATAATGACAATCAAACACACTAACATGTTTGCTAGAGCCTAGCTGTGAAAGGCCCTTATTCTTTTCACTGTTGATACTTAATAAATTTTTGTTCTCACTAAGAAACAAGAGGAAATTTGGTTTATCAAGAAAGGTTGGATTTAGAATCAGATAGGCCTGAATTCCAATTCTTCAAGCAGTTACTACTTTACATGTGAGTTTTATATTGCTCATCTGTAAGAAAGAGACTAGTGTCACAAAGAATTCCATAGGCACTACTCCCTGGCTTGTGAGCTCCTCCTGGACAAACATTCCCTCTTACCCATTTTCATAGTCCCTAGCACTATGCTTGGCACATTATTGGTGCTCAGTAAATGTTAAATCTGAGTACTGGTTAACATTAGTTAGACCTTATGTCTTAATTGCAGCTGCCAAATTAGAATATTTTCTCAGACTAAATGCCAACTAAGAAGTTTCAGACTATAAAATTCATAAAGTTATGATAGACTCAGTTTTTTCTTAACGGCAATAATTATAATAAACTAAGGAGATCTTAATTCAAATACATTATAGTTGACGTTAGTAAGGTAAAGCTATAGATAATGTTTGAACAGTTCTGAGAAAATTCGTTATAGGCAGCTTAAAATTTGGGAACATGAAAGTTTAACCAGCTCTGCTCTCTTGTTTTGTTTCTGAGGAATCTAAAACCAGCAGAAATAGTGACTTTCCTACAATCACACAGCTCACAGAGGGCACTCTAAGAGAGATGCCCATAAGTGTGTGTCCCCTGCCTTCTTTTGGCTGGACCAGAATGTTTTGTTTTTTAGAATCACAGTAATGTAGAGGAATGGGGAGTTGGCCATTACTTACATGGACATTTTTTTCAAGTTGGGAAAAAAAAAATCTTAGTCTAAAAGGGAAGGCTTTTTATAATATTCTGAACTGTCTTCATGCTTACAAAGAAAATTATAGCCTTTTCCCGTCGTGTTCAGGCCCACATGAATTGTTCAATTTGATTTATGATAACCATACTGCTATAACTGAAAGGAGCTAATTAGATACACAAATAAACTGAATAGCAAATTATAAGGAAAAAAAGACAACTGAAATAATTCGGCTCTTTTCTTGGGAAAGACATTAATTACAAGCTTTTGCCTGTGGAATCTGTTGTCTAGGAAAAATTCGAGACTCGATAGTAAAGGTATAGAATTTTTCTGGTATAGGCTACAACTCTTATTTGGTTGTAACAATTTGATATGTTTGATGTAATGGTGTTAATGTCTAAAAACTTCAAGCAATAAACCCCCTATTTTCCTAATGCCTCTAGTCTTTCCTCCTCCTAGTAGAATTCCTATTCAGCCATACTGATCTTTTTACTAACCCCTAGGCTTATTTTCATTTCTGAAGATAGAATGTTTGGGCCGCCTTCCTTGTCTGTCCTACTCTAGTGGCAACAGAATTCTAAAAAAATAAATGGCACATTCAATTTAGGATAATTCAAATTAGGAGAGTATGTATACAAAGATATTCATAATGAAGATGTGAGACATATAAGCAAGCCACAGGAATATTCTGTTTATCTAGAGCTAACAGCAACAGAAGGGAGAGTCTTCTAGAGCAACCTGCCTGGAGAGAATGGCCTTCTGTTGAGTGACGTGCCAGACCAAGATGACCTAGAAGGAGGGCACTAAGGTAAAGGAAATGAGTATCTTGAGCTCATTCTGCTGTATCCCTCTGCTCCATGGCTCCCCATTGGTGTAACTTAACCAGAAACGAGAGGGCATGGGAGCCTAATGATGTAATCCCTCTTGAGACAGAGCACAGAGTGGGGAAGAGGAGACAGTGAGCAGAGAAGAGTATTGGATGCCATCTGGCGTGCCCTTTTGAACTGTAGTTGACATCTTTCCTCTTCAAGAAGCCTTTGCTTAACCTTACCAGACCAAAACAAGCTCTCAGGTCTCTATTAGGATTTGGTTATTGATAGTTGCCTTCTTACTATCTTACCTTGTGTATTGTTGCATTGTTTAAAAGCCATTCATTCTCTTAAACTTCTAACTACATTTGTCTTATTCAGTCAACTCAGTTTTAAGCTCTGCATTTAAAATTTTTTTCCGTTCTTCCTTGTACTTTGCTTGGTGCTTTGCACATTACAATTTTTTCTCTTACTGTTTATTTTGAAAATTTTTAAACATTTTCTTAGGTAGAAAAAATAGTATGGTGAACAGCTAGGTACCCAACTCACAAATTCAATTACATAATTTGCCATTTTTGTTTTATTCCCACCCAACCACCTCATTGGCCATCTTTTTTAAACTTATATTTGCGTTGGTTTCTTGGAGGCCAAGAATAGTGCACAAATGATTATAACCCATAGTGTCATCACTGCTCGGCCACTGGGATTGTGTTTCTGTTCCTGATCTCTCTCGTCACTTAAATAAATTTTACCTCACTTAACATGCAATCCCAAAGCTGCCTTGGTGGCTGAAGTGAAATTTTTGTAAAAAGATAAAGAATTGGACTTAAGGTCAGTTTAACTTCTCTTTATTATGAGCTGTTTATGTGGCCTTTTTTTTTTTTTTTAATCAGAGACTTCTGTTTTAATGAGACCTAACTTGTGAGTTGATTTTGCCATGTGGATCCAAACTGGCTTTCAGGTGTTTCTTGGTGTATTTTATGTTGTCATATCTGTTTTATAGCTGCCATTTCTGTACTTATTCCCAAATGTATGCAGTCTCTAAAATGAGATACTTACATAAATGTGCAGGGAAAATTGGAGCATCTGCTGCAAATTTCCATTAGCTCTTAATGCCTGAGCAGACACAGCTTTAAAAATCTGAGTGCTTTGTCAGATTCTTTTGTATTAGTCTTTTTCTTGAGATAGGGTGAGCTCCTCCTCTTCTTCATTTCACTTTCTTTTTAAGGTACACACTGAAATATCCACAGGGAGCAATTTGCACCGCTCCGTCTCCCTCCTATTATATCATTAGTAGAAGAGGAATAACATGAGTCACCTTTCTAACCCTGTGGGTGTGCAAAGTCTGCTGAGCAGACACTCAACTTGTTAACCTTCAGATTATCAATCAGCCTACATGGATATCACATTTCTTGGCAAGGAGACCTCACCCCTACAATAGAGCCCCATCTCTTGTGCAAGAAATTGAATAGTGTAGGAATCACATTATTAAACAACAACTGACTGAAAGAAAGCCTTAGATGGATGATCGTAAAGGGAACAAAGAGCCACAACTCCAGGAGGCCTAAAAATGTGGAATTATGCGACAGTAAAGAGAGTTATGAAGTCCCAAAGGGTTTTACTAAAACAAATTGTTCCCCACTGGTCCCCTCTTTAGTGACTTGAGTATCAAGATTTAAAAACACTTTTGTTCTTCTACTTTAGATGTAAAAGGAACTCATCCTTTGAGAGCCCTCAGGTTTAGGGAAGAAAATGCTCAAAGGATTGGCTGGAATGGCTGTCATTCTGAAGACTAGGTGCATTCCTTGCAGGTAGTGGTGGGACAGAGGGGGGAAAGTCTGATCCCATGGGCAAAGAAGTAGGAAGGAAGAAAGAGGTAAAGCCCACAGTAAAATGTTTGCCTTCTTGCCTGATGTGAACCTAGATAAAGAAGGCAAGTGTGCCAGAAAGAGTGGGAAATAAGAGAGGAAAAGTTCTGACTGCTGCCAGGAGTTGATGCAGAACTGGCACCACACTGGGCAGGCATTAGTGGGGTCCAGTGTGACTTGGCGCTAGAGCCTCATCTGTTGATCAGTCACCTGGAAGAAGAGGAGCCTCCATCCACCTCCTGCATTCGGAATTTAGAGCCTGTTACTGAAGTTTGCAAAAGTACGGTCTTTGGTCTCTGACTAGTGCCACTAAAAATTTTGTTGGCATTTACTTAATGTTGTGAGTAAGATCCCAGAATGCACCTAAAATGTGGAAAAACAAAACTTGTTGCTGGAAAGAAGCCCAACCTTAAAATGTGATCCAAGTCAACAAATTAATCTCACTTTAAGCCAAAGGAAATGTTTGAAATGAAAATACTGCCAGGAAATTAGAGTATTCAAGATTCAGGCTGAAAGAGAATATGAGTGTTTTATGTTTGTGGCTTCCTTGCCCTTAATGCTTTACTAGAATCTACGGTTAACCTTTCTAAAGATTCTGTGCATATTTAGACCTGAAACAACTAGGAGATCAGTTGTGTGTTTTTTTGTTGGGTTTTTTTTTTTTCCCACCTTTCTAGTGCCCTTTTCCCTTTCAGGAAAAAAGAAAAAGAAAAAGCTATATGTATATGAGTGATAATTGACCATTAATATGACCTCTAGAAAAAAGCCACAGCATAGTTTGTGGTTTATCTTCAGGAAGATAAAGCGAAGGAGAAGTTAAAGAAGGAACTGGATCACTGCTTTTATTTGGTTTCATTTGCATCATACTTCTTGAAATTCACTGTGCCTTTTACAATAGGTTACGTGACTGTATTTTCACAATTCCAAAGGAAAAAACTGGAATTTTATAATTTTGGTAATAAAACTATATTATATTTGGTGTCAGAAGTGATTTCCCAACTATTAATCATGTATTGACTTTATAGAATGGTATCTCACAGGAACTTAAGGAGGTTCCATATATAAAAGGAATGGCTACATTAAGCTAGGAATAGGAAACTTTTTGGGGTTTTGACATTGTGCCAAGAAGGAGTACCAGTTGGGTTCATCTAAATGTCTGGGGGAAAGAAAATGAAGAAAGAAAGAGATACAGACTGTTAAAATCATTTCCAAAGAAATTTCCAAAGCAGTGAAAGGTGGGGAGGTCTCCAGCATCGGAATGTTAAGAGGTAACATTCCAGACAGAAGTTCCAAAGGAGTGAAGTCTATGTTGGGTGTAGCCAGGTATAGTGGTAAGCAGCTCCCAGTTAGAAAATACATAGGTTAACTTAAACTCTAAGATTAGCCTAGAATCGAATATGTACCTGTAATTGTTCAACATGGTACTTTTATTGTGTATTATTCTTTCTAGATATGGAAGAAAGTAGCAGTGTTGCCATGTTGGTGCCAGATATTGGGGAACAGGAAGCTATATTGACTGCTGAAACTGTCATCAGTTCATCCGTGGAAATTGATGAACAAAAAAAAGCAAAAACTGATCCATTAATCCATGTTATCCAAAAATTAAGCAAGATAGTGGAACATGAAAAGTCACAAAAATGTCTTTTAATTGGAAAAAAGCGTTCACGGTCAAGTGCTGCAACGCGGTCTCCTGAAACTGAAGAACTTGGTGAGATTCCAGCTAAAGTAACCCAATCACCTGCTGCTGGTATTAGAAGGGCTGAGATGTCGCAAACAAATTCTACCCCTGACTCTCCTGCCCAGAACGATGGGAAGGCCATGTCGTACCAGTGTAGCCTCTGTAAATTCCTGTCATCATCTTTTTCTGTGTTGAAAGATCACATCAAGCAGCATGGTCAGCAGAATGAGGTGATACTAATGTGCTCAGAGTGCCACGTTACATCTAAGAGCCAAGAAGAACTTGAAGCTCACGTGGTAAATGACCATGAGAATGATGCCAACAGCCATCCTCAGTCCAAAGCCCAGGAGTGCGTGAGTCCCTCCAACTCCTTGTGTCAGAGAACCACAGAAAGAAATAATGAAACCATTCCTGATGTCCCAGTGAGTGTGGATAACCCTCAAGCTCGTGCTGTCCAGACTGCACCCGTGACAGAAATGGGTAGGAGGAAGTGGTATGCATATGAACAGTATGGCATGTACCGGTGCTTGTTTTGCAGTTATACTTGTGGGCAGCAGAGAATGTTAAAAACACATGCTTGGAAACATGCCGGGGAGGTTGATTGTTCCTATCCAATCTTTGAGAATGAAAATGAGCCCCTTGGTTTGCTAGACGCTTCGGTAGCTGCTGCACCTGGGGGCGTTGATGCAGTGGTCATTGCTATTGGAGACAATGAACTGAGTATCCACAATGGGCCTTCCATTCAGGTGCAGATCTGCAGCTCAGAGCCGTTATCATCTGCTCCTTTAGAACAGAGCATGGAAGGCAGAGTTCACCTCAGTCAGTCAGTTACCCTTGACCCTCACGAGGAAGAAATGCTGGAGGTGATTTCTGATGCTGAGGAGAATCTGATCGCTGATAGCCTGCTTTCGTCAGCACAGAAAATCATTAGCAGTAGCCCAAACAAAAAAGGCCATGTTAACGTGATAGTGGAACGTTTGCCGAGTGCTGAAGAAACACTTTCCCAGAAACGTTTCCTCATGAATGCTGAAATGGAAGAGGGGCAGAACCTCAGCCCAGCAGAAGCTCCAATTGGGTGTGAAGGCACAGAGGAGATTTACCATGCTGATAAATGTACTGTTGATATCGGGGGACTGATCATAGGCTGGAGCAATCCAGAGAAGGAGGACAGCGAGTTAATAAATAAAGGACTGGCTACTGATGAAAATGCCCCACCAGGCCGAAGAAGGACGAATTCTGAGTCTCTTAGGCTGCACTCATTGGCTGCAGAAGCGCTGGTCACGATGCCTATAAGAGCTGCAGAACTAACAAGAGCCAACCTTGGACACTACGGGAATATAAACCTTTTAGCTCCAGATACCGGACAAAGACAAGTAGATAGTACGTTGGCAGCGTATTCCAAAATGATGTCACCACTTAAAAACTCTGCAGATGGACTAACTACTTTTAACCAAAGCAACTCTACCTTGGTAGCGCTCCCAGAGGGTCGGCAGGAACTGTCTGACGGGCAAGTTAAGACAGGCATCAGCATGTCCCTACTAACTGTCATTGAAAAGTTGAGGGAAAGAACAGACCAAAACGCTTCAGATGATGACATCTTGAAGGAGTTACAGGATAACGCCCAATGTCAACCCAACAGCGACACAAGCGTGTCAGGAGGCAGTGTGGTGGAGTACATCCCTAACGCTGAGCGGCCCTACCGCTGCCGCTTGTGTCACTACACAAGTGGTAACAAGGGCTACATCAAGCAGCACCTGCGAGTCCATCGACAGAGACAGCCCTACCAGTGTCCTATCTGTGAGCACATAGCCGACAATAGCAAAGAACTGGAGAACCACATGATCAACCACTGTAAAACAAGAATATACCAGTGCAAGCAGTGCGAAGAGTCTTTTCATTATAAGGTAAGCCTTGATTGGTGAAGTCATTTGAGAACCTTAGAATTTAGATCAGTGGGGGCCTTTTGTGGATACAGTTCAGCTACCTACTTTATAGATAGGAAACTGAGACCAGCAAGTTTGAGAATTTGCCCAGGGGAACCCAGACTAAGTAGTATCAAAACTGTGACTGAAGTCTAGGTAGAATTTCTGGAACAGGGTACTTGTCTCCCTGCTGCCTCTTTAATAGCCTCTTTATGGCACTAGTGTTTTTTGTTTTTTTTTTTTGTTTTTAAAGAGTTATGTATGTATACAAGAACCGAGGTACAGGCCAGATGCACAGGAGGGTGAGAGGATTCACCAGAGACAAAGTGGGGAACAGAACAGGCAGAGTGACGAAATACACTGCTGAGGGGAGCAGCGGGCGAGACAGGGGAGGTCTGCCGCACCTTGTGGGATTCTCGCCAGTGGGCTGGGATCGAACCCACGCTGCAGAGGCTGCAGACAGCTTCACAGCGCGGCACTCAACCCGCTGCGCCACCGGGGAGGCCCCTGGTGCTAGTGTTTTTAATGTGTTCAGTTAAAATGGCAAGGGAGGGTCCAACAGAGTGACAGTGCACACACATTTGACATGCACAAATTTAATCCTGCGTCATTAGCACAAAATTTTTTTCATATTCTATGGCTCCAAAATGCAAGTCATTTCAGCTGCTACATAAAGAACAAACATGATGTGTATCATTGCAAAAGGAAAAAATGGGCTAATTGAACTTCATGAGAGATAGTGAGGTGGATGTGTGCTCTTCTGTGGGCAGTTTGAGAGAGTTTCAAAGCTTTAACTGTTTTTTTCCATCATTTGCACTGCCTTAAGACCAAAAACCAGCATGAGGGGGCCTCCCTGGTGGCCTAGTTAAGTCTCAGTTCTATCACTGCTACAGCCTGAGTTGATCCCTGGCCAGGGAGCAGTCTATTTCATTCAGTCCACCTGCTCTGCTCCCCCCCTCTGTCTCTGGTGAATCCTCTCACTCCCTCCTTCTGGCCCCTCTTTCGGCCCTCCCACCCTCCCCCCCCACCCCCGCAGCAGCTCTGGCCTACACTCCAGTTTTTCTATGCCCAAAAAAAAAAAAAAAAATCAGTATAAAATACAGTTTCTTTAAGGAAACTTGTACACATTGAATCATTGGTTTAGTAGTTTGTTTTTTGTTTTGGTTTTTTTGTTTGTTTGTTTGTTTGTTTTGTTTTTTTTTTTTAGATTTATTTATTTATTTATATGAGAACTGGGGTACAGGCCAGACTCGCCGGAGGGTGAGAGGATTCACCAGAGACAGAGTGGGAAACAGAACAGACAGACTGACAAAATACACTGCTGAGGGGAGCAGCGGGCAAGACAGGAGAGGTCTGCCGTGCCATGGGGCCCCTCGCTGGCTGGCTAGGATCGAACCAGCACTGCAGAGGCTGTGGACAGCTTCACAGCGCAGCACTCAACCTCCTGTGCCACCAGGGGAGGCTCTGGTTTAGTAGTTTTCTTCAATGTGCCACTTGACTATTTGATATAGATATATAGATATATATATATATATCCTAAAGGACTGGCTGGGATATAGACTTTTTCTTTACTATTATCCAGAACTGGGGTCTGACTGGTAGTAAAAAAGTAATCAGGGTTATTCCTCAAGTCCCTAAGTCTGAGATTCACCACCATTTGGATTGCCTCATGAAATTATGAAATGGCCTCAGGCCATCAGACAAGTAGACTTCTACATGATGTCTTACATGCAGAGGCAGGCAAGTTCCCGAATTTTCCAGCAGTTTCTTTTGTTATTGCATTCCTGAGTCATGGGGATGGATATGGAGGAGAATATCCTTGGAGCACCAGCTGCTGCTAGATGTCTCTTACACATTTAGTTAATATTTAAAGGCAAAAAGTAGCAAGAATTCAGCACTTACCAGTTGGATTTATTTTGGTGAAAGTGTTGAGTTTTCCTAACCACTGTTCTTTCTTTGTGTGGGCCTGCTTCCTAAGACAGTGACGGCTTCCTTTCAGAGACCATGAAAAGAACTCCCTTGTTGATGAGTTTGAGTTCTCTAGTGCCTCTCTTTCCATAAATTGCCATGTGGGTCAAAACTTTTCGCACATCTGGTTTGAAAATATTAGTAACAAATTCTAGACCATAGAAACATTGGTGACTCTATAGCCTCCGGTGACTGAGCTTGTGTCCTTACTGAAAATTACATATTAGTTTCTCTGAATTTTTTAGAGTCAACTGAGGAATCACGAGAGAGAGCAACACAGTCTCCCAGACACCTTGTCAGTAGCAGCTTCTAATGAGTCAAGAATTTCCAGCGATACAGCCGACGGGAAGTGTGTACAGGAAGGTATCTGCATTTTCTTATACAGGCTGCATGACAAGCATGTGAAGTGCAAAATGCCATCAGTTGTCATGTGGGTGATTGTAGAAGTAAAGCTACATGCATTCTTTTCTGTTTTTATACTATGAATGTGAGTGAACCTTCTGTTCCTAAGGAATTTCTGAGACTAAAGGATGTCCATTATTACTAGGTCCTGGGTAAGAGGTACTCTCTTCCTAAGTCCACAGCCTCAGCTGTGTTGCTATTGTGTTGAAATGTGTGCTGTCCTGCAGGAGCAGGTCACAGCATTCACCCCTAGAAGGGACCATGCTCACCAGCCAGGGGAGCTGCAGTGGAGTCACAAGCCTCCTCTCCCTCTCAGTGCTGGGTGACCCTTGGAGAACAGAGCTTTTGCAGATGGCAAGCCCCCACCTCAAACTTTAACTGAGCCTTCCTGCTGTGATCTTTATTCTTATTCAAGCATGACTGCCGGGTTTCATCTGCATTTTTTAAAAAAATAAAATTACAGGATTTTTTCATGTACTGGCTAGGTACCAGTCAGCCAAGTTTCTGCTAATGGGAATATTAGACTCAAAAGATTTAATTAGTTTCATGAAAAGGCTGATGCCACATTCGGAGAATTAGGGATAAAGCTTAATAAGCTGTGCTTCCTTGCATCAGCTCCCTTGAATTGATATGCTCTAAATGTCTCAAGCATGGTACATAGTGTTTATGGGAAATAAAACATATTGGGGTGACTTTCCTTTTTAGACTTCCTAAGAATTAAAGTTAGAAACAACTGCAGAATAAAATGTTTTACCATAATGCTTCATTAAATTATACCCCAGAAAGCATAACTGATTCTGGAATGTTTTTGAAAGAACTGATTTTGACACCACTGTAGCACCAAAATTCCCTTGTCAAGCAGATGTCATCCCTGTAAAACTACCCCAAACAAAAGGAGTTTATGACATAGCATCTGTTTCTGCGATAGATGGCTGAGCTAAAACAGTTTTGTTTTTTTTTTTAACAAAATGCCCCTAAATGCCTCCTTTTATTTTAATTCATTATGTTTCCATATCCCCTTTAAAAGAGACATTAAAACATTTGATATCATTGGATCATAAATCCCTAATGAAGGAATAAAGTAAGTGTAGTGGCACCACCTGCGGTTAATACCAGCAGTAGACTAGGTCTGTTCGAGCACCAGCTTCAAAAGCAGTAATTTAAAACAGTCCAAATGGTTTAACAAATTATAAAACTCACAATTTTAATAAAAGTGATTAACATGTCAGCTCAAGATTAACATAACCAGTTCAGTCTTGACAGCATTGACATCTGTCCACCATGTACCATTTTGCAGCATCTGTTTTTTTGTAGATCGTGCTCTGTTTCTTAGGGTTAAACATGCAGATTTTAAATTGCTACTATCCACCCCCCGCCCTAATTTGGCTCCATTTGCTTTTCTTTGTCATAACAATTCAGATGACTGGTAACCTCCTGCATGCTCAGACCTCTACTCTTATTTTGTTAATTCAGCTTTAGAGCTCTTGAATCGATTAGCCCAAAGAACAATTTTTTTAACTCACAAAGAAGATAAAAATGATTTGTTTCATTAACTACTTTAGAAAACTAAGAAGGGAGATGTGTGGGAACGTGATCCCTGGCTGCTGTCCTTTATGATGGCACAGATAACAAGGCATGTTTTCCACTCAGATGGCCATTAAAATGGTACTTCAGACATTCCTCTGACAAGCATGGAGAGCCCATCTTAGCTGGCTGTTGTGCAAGGTGCTGGGAGCACAGTGAAGGCATCTCTCCCTTGGAGGAACCCAGCCCACTGAGGAGAGAGCTGCACTGACAGCTAAGTCAGCAAGCACCACAGGTGCTAATAGAGACACGGGTAGAGCACTTTCATATGCTGTTTCTTTGTGACATTTAATTAAATTGTTCTTTATTTTGCAACCGTAAAGTTTGCCAAGTCCTAGGGATTCAGTGTAAACAAAACAGGCAAATCCCTGCCCACTTGAAGTCTGCTGCTAGTGACAGGTCACAGACATGCAAACATGCTGGTAAAGTACAGCCCATTGGGAAGGGGAATCAGGAGTACCCCCGGGCTTACTAAATCATGCTAGGCCGTTCTCATGTTTCCATTTTATAGATGAGAAAACTGAGTCCTTAAGATATAAATACTTTGCCGGTGATCACAATGGTACTAAGTGGCAGAGCAAGGACTGAGCCCAAGTTTTTTAACTTTAAGTCCAATATTCTTCCCATTGGAAACAGTTGCTTGAAGTAGCACAGACTCTCATTCTGTGCTATATTAAGTTTTTCCATCTGTCATTTTTATTAGTTGTCATTGATCTGTAATACTTCTCACACAAAACCATTATCCAATATTTCACACTTCATTTTTTCAGGGCTTTTTAAAAAACTGCATTTGGAACAGTGCCACTTATAATCAAGTCCAAGTTTTTAACCTACCAATTAAGAGTAATACTTAGATTATAATTATGATTAGTGTGTGTATTAATGTTATAGATTTATACCAGTAAATGAGGACATTTTGTTCTGCCTGGCAAGAGTAGTTATTAGCAAAAGAAAAATTCAGTTTTAGAAAGCTTAAATTTAACTTAAGGATTTTCATTGTTTTGTTAAAATTTCAGTGTGGGTTTTCTTTTGTGCCACCAATTTCACTTTTATGCCTGGCTCACTAGTGTTCTACCTAAAGTTTCTTCCTGCTCTGCTGTATGCTTCAACTTCCATGACTGCTGTTTTTCCAAATACAAAGCAGGCTGGAACTGGTCAGCACATTTGATGCTGGAGAAACTTGATGTTGGAGAAGAGAGTAAATAAAATGTTGCGGATCTTCAACAGTTTCATAGGACCAGGTCACCCAGCTTTCCTGTGTCAGGTTTACCCTGATTTGAGTTACCAACCTTGCTCTGTAGCGAGCGTAGTCGCATGGCCTGTTTCTATTGGATCCCTGTTTCCTTAATTTTAGAGGCTGCTTATTCACATTAGTCATCACCTCAGTCCTTGTGACCTGTCAGTTTACTAGATATAATTATACTCTATTATATAGCACTTCATAATTTGCAGTTGCTTTTCTTTCCATTGTTACTTTGACAGCTGACATTTAGTTATAAATAAACCCACAGGATGGAAAAGCTTTTTATATTGTAAAGTTTATTATATATTAGCCCCCCCCTTATCCACAAAGGATATGCTCTAAGACACACACCCTCTTCCTCTCCCCGCCCCCCCCATGGATGCCAGAAACCACATATAATAACAGACCCTACATAGGCTATGTTTTTCCCTATATGTACATACCTATGATAAAGTCTAATTTATAATTTAGGCACAGTAAGAGGGTAACAACAACAATAATAAAATAGAACAATTATAAATATATACTGTAGTAAAAGTATGTGACTATGGCCTCTCTCCCTCTCCCTGATAATATCCTGTTTAAACATTTTCAGGCTGTGGTTGACTGCAGACAACTGAAACTGGATAAGAGGGAGATTCCTGCATCTGCTTTGTAGCCATACTTTATAATATTAAATTACAGCTTATTGGCAAATCACTGTTTCCTTAAGACAGAATAGCCAATATTGATTAGACTAACACATAGTGTGTCTGGTTAATTCAGCTCCTACACAGTCAGCAGGGCACCAAGTTTATTATATTTTAGAATTTTATACATTAAATGAGGACCATAGCAGGAATTTAGAAAACCTAAATAAGAGACCAGGAAAAAGACTAATTATAATAAAGTAAAAATCAAAATCAATAAGCAACTATAAACCAGAAACACAGTGGGGGGTGGGGAGGGAGGAGGGATTAGGGTCAAAATAAGGGGGTGTGGGAATTGTATGGGGAATATAACCAAGATGAAAATGCATACATTGTGCAAAAATGAAAAATGATGTAAAAAATATATAAAATAAAAAATATATTTTAAAAAAGAGATTTAAAATAAATAAATAAATGACAACCAACCCAATGTAAATGTTTCAGTCAGATGATACTCAATCCAGATGCAGGAGAATCTAAAAAGCCATGTTCAGACTTGTTAACAGTGAAAAAGCCTTGATGGAAATGTTAATACACTGTGGTATAAATATTCGTTTATAATGGAAGGTAAATACTGTCGTTTAAATCTAATCAAAGCATGTCACTAAAACCCTGAAATCCCTTGTCTAGGGAATAAGTCTTCAGTCCAGAAACAGTATAGATGCGATGTTTGTGATTACACAAGTACGACATACGTTGGTGCCAGAAACCACAGACGCATCCATAATTCTGACAAGCCGTACAGGTAAGTGTGACGCTCCTAGTAAAACGTTTTAACACTTGTAGTAAAATATTTTATAGTAAAGAGAAAATTAAAATTCCCTAACAGTTGTTTAAAGATAAGGTAACTGCCAAGAAAGCTTGTCCTGTCTTTTTTAGTTTGTTAATGGGAACTTTAGGTTTGAGTCTTAGGACAACAGGCTTTTCTTTTTTTTTTTTTAATATTTAAAGAGTAGGTTTATTAGGGAAGGGATAAAACAGTTAAAGACATTTGCAGAGACACAAGTGGGCAGGAAGAACTGCCCCAGAAGGGACAGGTTTGCGAAGAGAGGCCTGCATGGTTGCAGGTGGGCGGCCTTGACAGGCCTCGGGCAGGCAGGAAGCTGCTGCCCTGCAGAGGGAGAGAGTTGGTGAAAAGAGACACCTGCATAGTCAAAGGTGGGCAGTAGGAGTGCAGCCCTGAGCCTGTGCAGATTGAACTGATAGTCGTCTTCTGTTTGGGAGGGATCACTCCTTATGAGCTGTCAGTCGGTTGCTAAATTTGTATACCTATGTAGAATTTGAAAGGAACTGGAGATTCTGCAATGGGCTCAATCTCCATATCTTTACCTTTGGGGTCTGTTGGGCTCAATCTCCATATCTTTAGACCACCTCAGGATAGGACAATAGGCATTTTGTCTGGTTGAAATTTAGGAAGCTGTCTTTATCTGTCAGTTTTATGTTTTCAGTTTCATTTGGATATAAATTATAGCAGTATAGAGCACATTTTAGTAATTAGGTAGTTAAGTCATCTGTTCTAAGAGCAAAAGATCCTTGAAACTTGAAAGTTAACAACAAAATTTCCTATAAAAGATTCTCTTTTTGAAAATAGAGCTATCATGTGTAGAATAAGGTCATTTAATTAACTTTATACCTTGATTTTTCACAACAGCCAATTCTAATAATGCATTTTCAGAAAATACAGGCATTCTCAGTCACTTAAGATAGGCTGATAAATAGAAATCAGTATTTCCTAAATAAGCTATGTCTCTTGAGAGTAAACTAATTGTTTATGTATAGTCAAGGCAAAACATTTTTGCCTCATTTGTCCAGTGGTCACAGACTAAATTCTATTGCAGCTTTGATGGAACAACACTAGATTCCCACTCCAGCAAAACCAGTCAGCACAGTGGCGGTAGGCTGTGGACATGAACTTTTGCACCTTTGTCAGAACTTGTTTTAAGTCTACCTGGGTTTTCTGGGTATGACACAAGTGAGAGTGTGAGAAAGTTATAGGGTCAGTATCTAAAGTGAAAACCTGACTACATACCCTTTATAATACTATTATTTGATCCTGTACTGTAGCGGTCTCTATATATCTGGTTTTAAATACTTAATATGTATTTAATTTGCTAGCCAGCAGGCTTATTTATAATCACTATTCAGACAGTATATCTGTGTAGCTCTGTGGAAGGAGGTTGACCCACCTCATTGTTTCTATTTTATTTTCCCAAATATTTTTAAAACTAGGATCCCGAGGATTCCAGAGTGAAATGAATGTCATTAAGCATTATTAACCATAACTCCATGACTTAAATTGTAGATGGAGTGATAGTATTGAACATTATCATTCATGATTTATAGTAGGAAGTGTTTGGAAGAATATAATGAAAATAGGGGGCACTGCATCATCTGAAATGAGAAGAAAGTTTTGCCCTTTTGGGGGAAGTCTTTATTCTTAAATTTAATGACATGGCATCAATAATAAAGTATGAATAAGATTGAATAAGTAAATATAATGGAATACATAAATGATTTAAAGTAGAGAGGCTCCTGTGCAGGAGAATTCCATAAATATTATGTTAATATTCTACCCTCCAGAAGGTGGATTGTAATTCCCACTCCTTATATGTGGGCTGCACATAGAAACTTCTTTCCAGATTGTACCATATGGTAACAGGGGATAAGAAAGAGTAACTTTACTATGCAGACTCTGTACCTCAACCAGACGATCAAGGTCAACATCAAGTCACGTTGACAGTCTTACGGGATGAAAATGGCACTTTCCCACAGTGGTCTTCCTCCCAAGAACCCATAAGCCCCAGGATAAGCAGGAGAGAGACATCAGACAAACCCACATTGAGGGGCAGTCTGCAGAATAGCTGATCAATGGTCCTCAAATCTGTCAAAGTCATTAAAAACATGGAAAGTTGGAGAAACTGTTAGAGTCTAAAAGATCCTTAAGGAGACGATGACCAAATGTCACGTGGTGTCCTTGATGGGGTCCTAGAACAAAGAAGGGGCATGTTAGGGAAAAACTAAGGAAGCGCCTCCTGTGGTGGTGCAGCTGTTGAGTGCTGGGCTGCAAGGCTGCCCGCAGCCTCTGCAGCGCCGGTTCATTCCCTGGCCGCCGGCGAGGGTCCCACCAAAAAAAAAAAATAAAAAATTTAAGGAAATCTGAAGTGTGGACTTCAGTTAATAATGACGCATCAACACTGGCTCCTTATGACAGATATATGTACCACCATAAGGTAAGATGTTAACAATAGGAGAAACTCAACTTTTCTGAAAATCCAAAACCATTTCAAAATGATTTTTTTTTTTTTTTTTTTTTCGGTAAGAGAAATCAGGGCCTCCCTGGTGGCCTAGGGGTTAAGTCTCAGCACTGTCACTGCTGTGGCCTGAGTTCAATCCCCAGCCAAGGAGCTAACCTACATGGTGCAACAGACCTCTCCTGTCTCACCCGCTGCTCCCCTTGATAGTGTATTTCAGTCAGTCTGCCTGTTCTGCTCCCTACTTTGTCTTTGGTGAATCCTCTCACACCCCAGTTCTTCTGCACACACACAAAAAAAACCCTAAATAGATAGACATTAGTTATTTGCCAGTGTTATTTTTTAAGGGTTCAAGTAACACTGGAGATATTCTGTAAGATAGACTTTCAACTTCTGACATTTATTTTCTGATCTGCTTTATCAAAATACAAAATTCTCATTGCCTAAGACTGACTTTTCATTCAGGGGACCATTTACTATATAGCACTCTGTGGCTCATTTTATTTTATTTTTTTTTAAAGATTTATTTGTTTATACAAGAACCAGGGTACAGGCCAGATGCACGGGAAGGTGAGAGGATTCACCAGAGACAGAGCAGGGAACAGAATAGGCAGACTGACAAAATACACTGGTGAGGGGAGCAGCAGGCACTACAGGAGAAGTCTGCCGCACCATGGGGGACCCTTGCCAGCTGGCCAGCCAGCGGGGATCAAACCAGCGCTGCAGAGGCTGCGGACAGCTTCACAGCACTGCGCTCAACCACCTGCACCACCAGGGGAGGCCCTCTGTGGCTCATTTTAGATAGAGAATTTTCTGGGAGGTTTCATGTGAAACCATATAGAAATAAAATGTGTCAAATATTTTAAAGAAAGAAAACATAGGGACAGGTAAAACCTCACTTCCTTAGTTTTTCACCCTTTTCTTCACATTGTCCTGATAATGATATGTGTCATTTCCTGGCATCTAAACACTTTGCTACATATACAATGTGTACTTATACATACACACACACACACAGATACAAACAGATATGTTTGTGTTATATATACAAACACAGATATGTTTTTTTTAATAAGCAATATATACTGGTTTTGGCTTTTTAACGGGTTAAATGTTGTGCCAAACAAATCATTTTATAATTTTCTCTTTTCACTAATTGTTATTGACACTGGTTCATGTGATAAATACAGATCTAGTTCTTTAACTTTAATGCTCTATTTCATTATATGGAAATAATTCCATAATATCCCTTGGGAAAACAGTGATTATAGACTATGTCCTTTTTTGCTCTTGTGGCTACAAGTTACTGTTCTTGTTGATGTGTCCTTGTGAACATGTAGATGAGGCTGGACCCTAGAACTGGACTTGTACTTCACAAGCACATGCCTCTTCTGTCTTAACAGATAATCAAATTACTCTTCAGAATGCTTGTGCATACAGACACTTACACATGGTCTGTGTGTCTACAGTTCCCCACCTCTGCAAATATGCCATTATCAGACACCTTTGTCAGTCTTGTGGGTGTGACTCACTTCTCTGACTATTAATGAGATTGTAGATCTTTTAATATGTTTGAATTTCTGGGAAGTTCTTCCAAGAATTGCTTACTTAACTGCCTTTAAGTGACCTGGTATTTCTTGAGGTCAGAGGCCTTGGCCCTGATGCCTCAGAACATGTCACAAAAATAATAATGCTAAAATAATATTGTTGCTTGCCATGGTAAAGTTAAATTGGAGGTATGTTAGAAGAGTTTAGTTCTTGCCATATGTAATTGTTTTGTTTATTCTGATGCCTTTTGACTTTTGTGTATGTGTATGTGTTTTTGTTATTGTTGACCTGTCTCATACTGTTCTGGGAAGAGGTCACATTAAATTACCTAATTTGCTAAGTTTGTAATTCAGTATCTAACAGAAATGTCTTTTAAAACAACATTTGCAGTTTCCTAAAAAGATAAACATACTTTGACCATATAGTTCAGCAATTGTGTTGCTTAGGTATTACCCAAATGATGAAAATGTATATCTATCCACACAAAAACCTGCACATGAATATTTATAGCAATTTCATTCATAATTGCCAAAAGTTGAATGCATCCAGATATCTTTCAGTAAGTTAACGGGTAAGCAAACTGTGGTACATCCATACAGTAAAATATTACTCAACAATAATAAAAGAGCTATAACACCATGTAAAGATGTGGAGGAACCTTAAATGTACATGGCTAAGTAAAAAACAGTATGAAAAGGCTGTCTGCACAATATGATTCCAAGATGTGGTGACATAGAAAAGGCGAAAGCAGTCACTAGGGTTTCAGGGTTGTCAAAGCAATGAATTGGTGGAGCACAGAGGATTTTTAAAGTGGGGAAATTGCTTAGTATGATATTATAATAGTGGATACAGGTCAAAACCCATAGAACTCTGTAACATAAAATGTGAGCCCTAATATAAACTAGAATTTGGGTAATAGTAATATATCAATATTAGTTCATCAGTTGTAACAAATATTCCATACTGATGCAAGATGTTAATAAGAGGAGGAACCAGGAGAGTGGGGATAATTCTAAAAGTACTCTGAAAGATTGTGTAATTTTTTTTTGATTACTTTATTGAGTTCAGATTTTACCAAATGTACCCAGTTATATGAAACAATTATTATTTTGAATGAAAACATTTTTAAAATTCCTTTTTCATGAAATCATAATTTTTGAAGCCTTTTAGACAACTACTGCCACATTCTGTAGATTATAAATAAGCACAATTCATGTTGAAAATTAGGTCCTCCCCTGGTGGTGCAGCGGTTGAGCACTGGGCTGCGAAGCTGCCTGCAGCCTCTGCAGCGCCGGTTCGATCCCCAGCCACTGGCAAGGGTCCCCACATGGCATGACAGACCTCTCCTGCTGTGCCTGCTGCTCCCCTCAGCAGTGTGTTTCATCGCTCTGGTGAATTCTCTCACCCTCCCACACTTCTAACTGTACCTGGTGCTTATATAAATAAATAAATAAATAAATCTTTTAAAGAGAAAAAATTAATTCCACTTTGCTTTCCTAAGAAACAGTGGAATGGGGGGCCTCCATGGTGGTGCAGGGGTTAAAGACACAGCATTGTGAAGCTATCACCAGCCATTGCAGCATGAGTTTGATCCCCAGCCAGGGATCTAACCCACATGGCACAGCAGACCTCTCCTCTCTCCCTGCTGCTCCCCTCAGGAGTGTATTTCAGTAGATCTGCCTGTTCTGCTCCCCACTTTGTCTCTGGTGAATCCTCTCACCCTCCTGCACCACTGGCCTACACCCCAGTTCTTGTGTGCATAAATAAATAAATCTTTATTTAAAAAAATAAACAGTGCAATAAAGTATTGGCTTTGTGTGGTTTTCTTCCTGTTTGATTAAATAATTTAGAGCAAAGATTTTGTATCTTAGCTAGCAGTCTTTCCAAATACTATAGTAGCTACACTAATCTGGTATGCTTGTCTTAATTCTTGTAAGTACTTTATAATATAAAATTCATTATTTCATTGATTCAAGGATATCCATTCTAGGACATTTTAGCCTCTCTGAAATTTGTATGTTTCTTGGAATTAGTAACATCTTAGAGTTGGTGAAATGTCTAATAAAACATGAGGGATTTAAAAATTGTTACAAAATCATTGTAATTTTTTAAAATCGTGTTATGGGATTCTTCTGGTGCTTTCCAAAATGTCTTTCAGATGCTCTTTGTGTGGCTATGTGTGCAGCCATCCTCCATCTTTGAAGTCTCATATGTGGAAACACGCGAGTGACCAAAATTATAACTACGAACAAGTAAACAAGGCTATTAATGATGCAATTTCACAAAGTGGCAGGTATTTGATCCGACTCCTTCCCTTTTTTGTTGTATGTGAATTAAAGTTAGGATTAAATTTATTAATCCTACAGAATAATCAACTCAAAGTTTGGTGTGTTTTGTTTTGTTTTTAAGAGTTCTGGGGAAAACCCCTGGAAAGACTCTATTAAACAGCAGTGAAGAAAGAGCCGATCATATCAGTGGAAGTTCGGAAAACTTGGTCTCATCCTCAGAGCTGATTTCCCAGACCCCCAGTGAAATTGTAGGCCCCAACGAAAATGAGAAACTGAGCCCTACAAGCAATACCTCATGTAGCTTAGAAAAAACCTCCAGTCTCGCCCCTCCTGGTATGGAGTACTGTGTTTTACTCTTCTGTTGCTGCATTTGTGGCTTCGAATCTACCAGCAAAGAAAATCTCTTGGATCATATGAAAGAGCATGAGGGTGAAATCGTAAACATCATCCTAAATAAGGACCACAGCACAAATCTAAACACAAATTAGTTGGAATAATTACTTGAAGAGGAAAACAGTTTTACCTTTGCATTGTCAAATAACTTACTAGACACGGAAGAAATAGTTGGGATGATTTTTGAGGAAATGACAAATGTCATTACCTTTGGAACCAAATTTGTAATCAAAGGAATTCCAAATGGATAAGTAGTAAATACTTAAATATTTTGAGTAAGGGGAAGTGGGTTGAGGAAGAAGCAAAAATGTAGTCCTGTATTAACCCTGTTACCTCTTCTTAGTATTGAGTGTATTTATTATTAAAAGCTTATTATAGTATAGAAATGCAAGCAAAGGAGTTGAGAAAGAAATGTAAGCAAAAGAGTTGAGAAAGGACTTTTCAGGAACCATTCTAAAATTTGTTATGGAATTGTCATAGGCTTAAGTTCTCAATTTTGACATGCCAACTGCAGAGTGACAGGCCTCAGGTGAGCAGTGGGAAGCAGCTTGCTGAGGGGTTTTCAGTGTTACCAACAGTCAGCAGGGAAAAGATTAATGGGTTTTGATCTAAGTCTTATGTTTTAGTCCTTAGAAAAGAAAAACCAGACATCTAAGTCCAGATCTAGATTGTAAGTAGATATTTAAGAAGTAGTTATCTAAATTTACAATGAATTTCTTATGGGCAAAGAAGGAAATAGGTGAATTCTGGCCAGATTCAACCCAAATCTCAAGAATTATGGAAGTGGTGAGTCGTGGAGTGCAGGCATCCACAGAGGTTCCTTTCAGAATGTTTAAGGAACGCCGCATGTGTAATCCCTAGGTGTGTGGGCCTTCCAGTTCTCTTGCAAACTAGACCAAGCTTGTTTTCTGAAAGGGTGTTAAAGCAGCAAAGTGAAAGTTGGCATTTGATCAATGGACCTTAGAAATAGCTTGAACTCTTAAATAAAAATCATTTGAGGGAAGAAGGATGAAATTCAGAAGTCTTAAAATGAATATCGCTATTGAGATATTACTTCCTGGAGTTTATAATTTAGGTATACTTAATGTAAGAGGTATAACCAAATGTGATTAAAATACAGTCACAATTCAGGTTGTTTATAAGACATTTAATAACAAACAGCATTTCTACAGGGTTTCTCCTCTTTAGGAAAAATTCCATTTTGTTAGTGTGCCAATAGAATGTAAGGAAAACCAACTAAAAGTGCTTTTGCTTTAAAACTCATCATCAAATACATGTAATCTCGTTAATTACACATTTGTATTATAATGTATTTAAGAGTGATGAGAACAAGGTTTTTCTGTTTTGTTTTTGTAGTTCTGATGATTTGTTTATGCATTGTTTTGTTAAAATAAACTCTGCCTACATGCGGAAGGCCAGTGCGCCATGCAGGCACGATCTTTGTGGTGCTCTTCCTGAACTTGATTTCTAACATCTAGAGCCGAAGCTGTGACACTGACCAACTTAGAATTGAAAAGAAAATTTTCTGGGTGGGATGTATTTTAAGAAAGATGTATTTTAGGAAAGAATTCTCTTCCCAAAGTCTAGGTAAGAATGGAATGAATTAACCTTTTCAAAGAAGCATTAGGAACTATTTAAGCAGGGTTAGGCATCTTGAAACATTGTCTGATTTGTTTTTTTAATCTCATTTTGATGATGATATTTAAACAAAATTTATTGTAACTTTGCAACTGTTTAATTTAGGTAGGTTTAATTTATTTATGAAAGTTAACCCATTTCTGATATTTGATTTTGAAAACATAAAATGAATTTATATACTCTAGATTATATTCTCCAATTCCACTCTATGTGGATTTATATTCATTTGTTTTCAGAAATAAAACATTTATATTTCAATTCAAATTCAAATAAAATATTTTCAATGTTTCCATTATTACTCATCATTGCCATTCCATCCATTTTTTCATTGTTGGTAGCTATTTCTCAGTATTTCCTTGTAAAATCTGTTCTAAAAAATTAACCTTAGAAGAATTTTATTTTATAAATTTTCGTTGGTTTTATGTAATTATTTGGAAAACACCAAACAGAAACACACTCAAAATTTCATAGTGAATTAATTTTTAACCTTTTTTCATTACCTTAAATCACATCCATTAATTGATACTTAAATTTTCCATTTGCAATCATGGATTTAAAATTTTCATAGCTCATGAGAAAAATTAATCCAGAATTAGCCCAGAAGTTTAAAGCCTTTAAACTTTCTTCTACTTCTGGCCTGCAATATCCTCCAAAGCCTTCTCCTGGCCATACAGGAGGAACCACACACCAAGGCTGTTCCCCACCTTCCCATTACCGCTGGTGGCACGCCTTAAGTTCATCGTGCTCTACCAGGAATACTAAAAGTAATAATGAAGACTAAATATGCAATTTAAATTGTCAAAAAGTTAGGTATACAAGTAATCAGCAAGAATTCCCTTTTTAGGAATAACATTTCATGTATTAGTGCTAGATCTTTTGCCATGTTAACACTCATAGTATGTTTTCTGCTCTGAACATTTACAGTTATAAAATTGGATGGTGAAAATACTTTTTAAAAAATACTTAACCAATGCGGCAAAGGTGGGGATGGGGGTAGGAGGGAGATGATGTATTCTCATCATTATAAATAATGCTTTTCAGAGCTCTATCATTTTCTCATAATCCAGAGAGTATGGTTGGTATCCCCAATGTTCTTAACTGTGCCTGTCTTCCAGTCATCTGTAGATTTGAGCTCCATGTCTGGCAGTGCAGTGTAGTGACACTGATTGAAGCCTTTGTTCTACATCTTTCAGTCTTTTGAAGGTAGCTGTTGGTGGTTCCCTTCTTATTTTCTCATCTTTTTTCACAAAGCAAATGATGGCACCCATGTTTACATTGTATCTTCCCGCAATGTACTTGGCTTGACAAGGACAAGCAGGCTTCTCTATTGAGACTTATTATATTTTTAGTTTTCATAGACACTTATTTAATCTTTTTTTATTGTACAGCAAGGTGCTCTAAGTAATATTATATAAAATATATTTAATAGAAATTTGAGTTTGATATTCATGGACATGAATACATGTATTTTTTTAAGAAATAAGTATTGTGTAACACTATGGCATTGCTTCTATAGCCAAAGTCTAAAAATTTCTGGAACACTGACATGTAAAGACTACAGTTAATTCTGACACTGTATCTTATTATAATAGGATGATTTGCATTTTGTAAAATTATCCAGCACATCGAGCTGCATGCCTTAAAGCCTAAAACTCTAGGATCGTGTTCATGGTAGAACAGTTTATCTGTTCAGCATACAGTGAAGCAAGGTCTATAGCGCTTCTTTAACTACCTTTGGAAATACTGTACAATGTTAGAATAATTTATTTTGCTTTACAGGAGTTTGTCATGTATTGACTTTAATATTGTATTTTGGTAATAAATTTTTTTGTTAAAAACACTTGCCTCTAAGTTTTATTAATAAAAGGTTATAGTCATTCTTATCTTGGACACCTTGATTAGATCACTTAGAAAGTTGTGTTTAAATAATAAACAGGGGTTTATTAACTACCTATGGTTTATGATTACCTTTAATAGTATTGCTGACAAGCACTGAACTGCCTTACACAGATCCTAAAGACTGTAAAGACTTTTTAAATTGTTTTAAAGATTCAATCTAAAGTTGAAGCTTTTCCCTTACTCCACAGTTTTACCTTCCAAACCACATCCTTTTATATACCTTCAATTTTGGCATAGTCAAAATGCTAAAGATCCAGTCTGTTTAATGACAGTTACTATTCTTTATTGAAGGACAAAGAGTATACCAATAATAATCTCACTCGTCTGGTTGTCCATTTCCACCCTGGAATCCTGGGCCACCTCAAGTTAAAGTGTCTGAGGCCAAATAGCTGCCTTCCTTTGTCCCCTGGGGCATCAAAGTTACATCTTCTGTCTTTCAAGAACCAAACCTCAACTCTGTCACTAAACTCCAGGTGCACTGTTGAAATTCCTGTACGGGAGACCCAGAACATCCGGGATTCTTGGCAGCCAGTAGGCACACGTGGCTAATAAGCACTTGAAACACAGTTAGTGTGCTCTATGTGTGCAAACACAACAGTTCTCACATCTTAGTACAAACAAGGTGAAGTATCGGTATCAGTTTCTTTTTAGATTGGTTACATGTTGAAATTTTGATATTTAGGGTTAAATAAAATAATGTTACCTAGTTTGGTTTTGGTTTTTATTGTGGCTACTAAAAATTTTTAAATTACATTTGTGGCTTGTGTTCTATTTCTGTTAGTGCTGGTATAGAAGAGATTAGCAAATGATTGCCCTTGCTTCGGAGCTGGTCAGCCACCTGTATAAGTCAAGTTTTATTGGAACGCAGCCAGGCCCGTTCTCTTCCGTATTATAGATGCCTGTGTTCAGCAGTGTTGAGTCCTGACAGAAACCATGTGGCACACAAAGATCAAATTTTTTACTATTATATTTGATAGTAAATAGTTTGGTAGAAACTTTGTTGACCTCTGAGCTAGAGCAACAGCATGATATATCCTCTAAAGCTACCAGAAAGAAGAAAGGTTATAAAGCAAGCTTTTTATAGCACTGTTCAATAACTAAATTGTTTCTCTGCAATTTTTATAGTCTTCCTGTTCTTCTGAATGATTTTAACCTAACTCACAAATTCAGCATCTCTGATATTTAAAACCAAAGAGTTCATTTAAAACAGCAATACAGGGCCTCCCTGGTGGCGCAGTGGTTGAGCACTGGGTTGCGAAGCTGCCCGCAGCCTCTGCAGCGCCGGTTCGAATCCCACATGGTGCGCAGACCTCTCCTGCCGCCCGCTGCTCCTCTCAGCAGTGTACTTCGGTCCTTCTGCCTGCTCTCCTCCCCGCTCTGGCTCTGGTAAATTCTCACACCCTCCCATGCTTCTGACTGTACCCAGTGCTTGTATAAATAAATAAATCTTTTTAAAAAAAAAAAAAAAACAGCAATACATACTGTCTCTGGTGAATCACCCCCCACACCTCTGGCCTTAACCCCAGTTCTTGTATGCATAAATAAATCTTTTTTAAAAAAACCAGCAACACATAATAAAATTAAACATTAACACAGCCACAAATAGTATGATCTTGTTTTCCTCCTGACAATCTCTGTGTCCGTGAGACCCTGGCTGCTTCACCCTTGCAGAGCTGTGGGCACTACAGGTAATGATGTGGCCACACCACCT